TCTAACTGGTTCTGACTGGTTCTGATGGTTCTGACTGGTTCTGACTGGTTCTGATTGGTTCTGATGGTTCTGACTGGTTCTGATTGGTTCTGACTGGTTCTGACTGGTTTTGACTGGTTCTGACTGGTTCTGATTGGTTCTGATGGTTCTGACTGGTTCTGACTGGTTCTGATTGGTTCTGACTGGTTCTAACTGGTTCTGACTGGTTCTGATGGTTCTGACTGGTTCTGATGGTTCTGACTGGTTCTAACTGGTTCTGACTGGTTCTGACTGGTTCTGATGGTTCTGACTGGTTCTGATGGTTCTGATTGGTTCTGACTGGTTCTGACTGGTTCTGACTGACTCTGACTGATTCTGACTGTTCTGATGGTTCTGATGTTCTGATGGTTCTGATTGGTTCTGATGGTTCTGATGGTTCTGATGGTTCTGATGGTTCTGATGGTTCTGACTGGTTCTGATGGTTCTGACTGGTTCTGATGGTTCTGATGGTTCTGACTGGTTCTGACTGGTTCTGACTGGTTCTAATGGTTCTGACTGGTTCTAATTGGTTCTGACTGGTTCTAACTGGTTCTGACTGGTTCTGATGGTTCTGACTGGTTCTGATGGTTCTGACTGGTTCTAATGGTTCTGACTGGTTCTATGGTTCTGACTGGTTGATGGTTCTGATGGTTCTGATGGTTCTGATTGGTTCTGACTGGTTCTGACTGGTTCTGATTGGTTCTGATGGTTCTGATTGGTTCTGATGGTTCTGACTGGTTCTGACTGGTTCTAACTGGTTCTGACTGGTTCTTATGGTTCTGATTGGTTCTGATAGTTCTAATTGGTTCTGACTGGTTCTAACTGGTTCTGACTGGTTCTGACTGGTTCTAACTGGTTCTGACTGGTTCTGATGGTTCTGATTGGTTCTGATGGTTCTGATTTGTTCTTATGGTTCTGATTGGTTCTGATAGTTCTAATTGGTTCTGACTGGTTCTAACTGGTTCTGACTGGTTCTGATTGGTTCTGATTGGTTCTGACTGGTTCTGATGGTTCTGACTGGTTCTGATGGTTCTGATTGGTTCTGATGGTTCTGACTGGTTCTGATGGTTCTGATTGGTTCTGACTGGTTCTGACTGGTTCTGATTGGTTCTGATGGTTCTGATTGGTTCTGATGGTTCTGACTGGTTCTGATGGTTCTGATGGGTCCCGGTCCGCAGCCTGGATGGACCGGGCCTCCCCGGCCCCCCTCCACCCCGCCGCCCCGCTCTCTTTAAATTGGGGGCTGATTTCGGGCGTTAGTTACCCTGTAATTCATTAGCGGCGCCACTGGCAGCGGCAGGCTGTAATTTCACGCTTGGCAATAAAAGATGTCTCATAATCTGCTTCATTTAGCAGCCAAAGAATTTAATGAAATTAACTGCAGCCCTAATTAAGACGGTGAATATTAAAGAGCTGCTATCAGGTTTAACGAGGCCCGCCGACCCGCCCTCCGCCGGATCCCAAGAATATCATTTCCCTGAGAAAGGCTGTCAGCGCTGGGAGCCATTTTGGCCCTGATGACATTTCTGTCATGCACAGCAACCCGGCAAATGAGCTTCCAGGAGCGGGGGGGCCGTTCTGGTCCGAGGAATAATTAAAACCAGGAACTCAGGCGTCAATCAGCCAGCAGCGAGAGCCTCCTGCTCGTTACCAGGCCAACATGGCGGCCAGCAGCGGCCCGGCCGCCGCCGCCGTCCAGGAAGAGGAGCTGCTCCTTCCTCTAATGAAGGAAGGTTTGGAGAATTGAGTTTCTAATTAATGACCCAGAACTCTGATCAGATCTTCCTCTCTGCTGTTGTTTGATCCGCTCGCTCGGCGCCGCTCCCTGGGCTCGCCTCATCAGCGCCGACCTTGGTGGAGACGGATGCTGCTCCGCGGCGCCTCCTGTTCGCTGCAGGTGAAGCAGCAGCTTTCATCATCAGCAAGGAGAGCGAAAAACCTGATCTGCTCTGTGCGGCAGGTTGAGGAGGAACCAGTCAGAACCAGAACCAGTCAGAACCAGTCCAGTTTCCTGTCCCAGCATCTGGAGGAAGGACAGCTTACCTCTCAGTACATGCAGGTCCAGGTGAGCGGGACACCTGGACACTCGGACTGATGGTAGGCCTGGTCTGATTGGTCCAACACGTAAACTGTCCAACCAATCAGAAGAGGTCTCTGTCCAATCATCGTCCTCCATGTCGGCGGTTGGCCTCGCCTTACAGCTTCCTGCCCTCTGATTGGTCGACTGATTGGCTCTGATTGGACGAGTTCTTGGTCTGAATCATGATCAGCAGTTTGTTAGTTTGAGGTAAATTGGTTGCAGATGTTTATGTCTGATTTGGTGATTTCTATGATCTCAGAGGAGCTGGTATTGGAAGTTGGGTTCATGAGTCAACTCTGATTGGTTGAAGGAAATCTTTGTATCTGGACCGGAACCTGAGGACTTTGGTTCAGAACCATTGGCCCGTTGTGCTGGTTCTGTTAGTTGAAGTACATGTTTGCCGGGCACACAGAGGAACTTTCCAGAAGTTCTCCTGAGGTGTCTGCTTCTGTTCCTCTGATTGGTCCTTTGGTGGACCTCATCGTTTGGGTCGGTGTCTGCTCTGACCGGGTCGAACGGCGCCGCCTCCTGCCTCCATCCTCTTTGTCTGCTGGACGTCTGTAATCAGCGGCTCACACTCCGGGCCTGTCTGAGGGGATGATGGATGACCCGGGTCGGAGTGCGGCCCGGATCAGATGCAGGAAGGTTCTGATTGACCGTCCTGATCCGGGAGACAAAGGCAGAGGGTTCTGTGTCCGTGCTGTCAGGCCGTCGGCGGCGGGAGGATCCATTGTGTGAGCAGAATGGGGCGATTGAGCGATTAGAGGCAGATTACTGGACGGTTCTTTATCTGGTTCTGCTCAGCAGGTTTAATGGGTTTGATGTTCCTCTGCTGCCAGGACAGAAGCCGTCCCGCTGTCTTTGTGTCTCCGTCTTCTGGACGGATCGGACTCCTGACAGCGCGCCTCTTTAATCAGAGGCCCGGTCCGACTCCGCCAGCGTTTCTGCTAACGAATGACTCCGTCTGCCGGCTTCCCCCGAGCCGCCGACCTTTTCCCGTCATCCTCACAGCGCCGCGGCGTCGCAGGGATCCGCCGCCGCCGCTCGGCACGACCTGAACCGCAAAGCTCGGCGGCGCCCTCGGACGTTTTGGGATGCCTAACAATGAGTCCATCTGCCGCCCCCGAGCGCCGACCTTTTCCTAAGCACTGCCTCGCCATACTTCAGCGGCGCAGAGAGTCCATCCCAGGAAGTATTTGTCTTACATCCATCGTCCCAGGAGGGACCTTGTGGGCCGTCATGGCCGCCGCGGCCCCGCCGCCTGCCAGAGGTAAAGCAAGTGTGTCACAGAGGTGACTAATGGAGGATATTACCCATCAGCAGGGTTTCAATTAGCTTCCCCTCATGCTAACTGATGGCTTGTCATCCTCAGGAGGGATGCTGGGAATGAATCTGCTGCTGGAGGAAGTGATGCGTTACTTCCTGTCCAAATAGGAACCTCAGTGAAATAAAACCAAACATTTCTCTGGTCCTTCCTCCTGGAAAATCTGTTTACTCAGTTTGACGGGAAAGTTTCACTTTTCACTTGGTGACATGACTCATCTTTAGAGTTCAAAGGTCAACACCAGACACCAACGGGTCAGAATCCCTGAATATGTCTGGGTGACTTGGTCTAGGCCGTTTTAGGGAATCTCCTCTGAGCGGCGCTGACCCGGTTAGCCGCTCGCTAGCAGGCGCTAACGGACGCTCAGCCGGCCTGACAGCTCTCGGCTGCCGGCGGCCTTCGCTTGGCCGCGGCGAGAGGCTCGTCACGTCGCGTTTAGCGCGCCGCGGGGAAGCCATGTTGTTCCCGTGGTGCGGCGAGACGCCGCCGCTTCCTGACAGCAGCCGGGATGAGTTTGAACATGGCCGCCGCGGCCTGAGATCAGAACCGTGTCCAGCTCCGTCTCCACGCCTCACTGTCACTCTGAAGCGTTTCTGCGTGGCGTTTTGTCGCCGCCAATTACAGCGAGCCGGCGGGGGTCACGGCGGCGCAGCGTCCCACCGCCGCCCTCCGCCTAATGAGAGCTGAGCGGAGAGCTGAGCGGAGAGCAGGCTTCTGTCCATCATCCGTCCTCCTCCTCCTCCCGCTCTTCACACGGACTCTATTAATACTCTGTGTCGGAGTGTTAATGTTGTAGAGGTCCAGTGAAGTGACACGCGTGGCAGCGCGCCTGTAATTGCTAATCAGCGGACGGTTTTATCCCCCGCCGCCGCCTCCCTCGCGCCTCCTTTTTGACCTTCCTGCTCTCCCCTCGTACCTAATGAATGCTGCTCAAATGAAGTGTGGGCGGCGAAGGAGCGCCAGCCGAGCAGCGCCAGCCGAGGAACGCGAGCGGCGGGCCTAAACGCTCACTCGGCCGCGGCTGATGTGCGTAGGAGAGAAATAAAGATCCAGACAATTAAATAAGTGCTGATTTCCCCACATTTTGCCGCGTTCAGCTCCTCTGACTGGATGTTTGGACTCCTGACGTCTTCTGGCGCTGAGCTCGTTATCTCCACTCCACAGACCCTGGTGGTCATGTAGCCTGAGCGGCGGCCCGTCCACATGTTGGCCAAGTGCACAATTAGGACGCTGTGAGTCAGAGTTGAAGCTGGCAGCATGTCGGCCAACCACAACTCACAGCACTGTTTGGGTAGTTTGACCCGCTTGTGGTCAGAACCATCAGAACCAGAGCAGGACTTCACTTGGCACCAGTTTTAGGCTCATTTTAATCCGTTAGCTAAAGTTTCCTCACATGTAGGCGGGTTTCGATTGGCCGGTGCAGCCGGGGTCTCCGGTCCAGTTCTGGTGGACCTGCTCATTAAAATTGTGAGGAGGTCAAACAGAGTAAAGGATCCAGCAGAGCTTGCAGTGGCGATGCTGTTTCACTGTAACGTGTCACGACTCTTCCTGATGACTATCCTCTGCTGCTTCCTGCAGGGCATGCTGATGAAGAGGAGCGGCAAATCCCTCAACAAGGAGTGGAAGAAGAAGTACGTGACGCTGTGCGATAACGGCCTGCTCACCTACCACCCCAGCCTGCATGTAAGCTGATGGCCGACGTTCCCTCCTGTTTGGCCATAACACACTCTGTGCATCAATTAGGACTCGTCATCTGTTTGCCCACCATGATGAGGACATCAGCTCTAATGTGTCTGCTAATTACCCTGTTGGCTCACAGAGGCTTTATGGCGGCAGGCGAAGACCTGCTGCTTCCTCCGGAGAGCAGGAGGAACCGGGTCAGCAGAGCCCAGCGCTGCAGGTTCCGAGTCCGTAACCGGCGGAACCGGCGCCGCTTTGCTCTCATTCGCTGCAGTTCTATCACAAATGTGTACAAAATGCTGCTGATGTTCTGCTAACGACCCAAAGTGCAGTTTGCATGAGAAACATAATGAAAACACAGATTAGTGATTAAAAAGCGCCGTCCTGCCGCCACTTCCTGTCGTCTTCGTCTGGACACCAGAAACCACATTAAACTCACAGTCACACACTTCCTATTCGCACCTACATTTATTATATTGACGTCATTTTTATTGCCATGTTTCAGTTTTAGCTCCTTCTGTTAGCTTTAGCTCCTTCTGTTAGCTTTAGCTCCTTCTGTCAGCTTTAGCTCCTTCTGTCAGCTTTAGTTCCTTCTGTTAGCTTTAGCTCCTTCTGTCAGCTTTAGCTCCTTCTGTTAGCTTTAGCTCCTTCTGTTAGCTTTAGCTCCTTCTGTCAGCTTTAGTTCCTTCTGTCAGCTTTAGCTCCTTCTGTCATTTAGCTCCTTCTGTCAGCTTTAGTTCCTTCTGTTAGCTTTAGCTCCTTCTGTCAGCTTTAGCTCCTTCTGTTAGCTTTAGCTCCTTCTGTTAGCTTTAACTCCTTCTGTCAGCTTTAGTTCCTTCTGTTAGCTTTAGCTCCTTCTGTCAGCTTTAGCTCCTTCTGTTAGCTTTAGCTCCTTCTGTTAGCTTTAGCTCCTTCTGTCAGCTTTAGTTCCTTCTGTCAGCTTTAGCTCCTTCTGTTAGCTTTAGCTCCTTCTGTTAGCTTTAGCTCCTTCTGTTAGCTTTAGCTCCTTCTGTTAGCTTTAGCTCCTTCTGTCAGCTTTAGCTCCTTCTGTTAGCTTTAGCTCCTTCTGTCAGGTTTAGTTCCTTCTGTCAGCTTTAGCTCCTTCTGTTAGCTTTAGCTCCTTCTGTTAGCTTTAGCTCCTTCTGTCAGCTTTAGTTCCTTCTGTTAGCTTTAGCTCCTTCTGTTAGCTTTAGCTCCTTCTGTCAGCTTTAGCTCCTTCTGTTAGCTTTAGCTCCTTCTGTCAGCTTTAGCTCCTTCTGTTAGCTTTAGCTCCTTCTGTCAGCTTTAGCTCCTTCTGTTAGCTTTAGCTCCTTCTGTCAGCTTTAGCTCCTTCTGTCAGCTTTAGTCCTTCTGTTAGCTTTAGCTCCTTCTGTCAGCTTTAGCTCCTTCTGTTAGCTTTAGCTCCTTCTGTTAGCTTTAACTCCTTCTGTCAGCTTTATCCTTCTGTTAGCTTTAGCTCCTTCTGTCAGCTTTAGCTCCTTCTGTTAGCTTTAGCTCCTTCTGTTAGCTTTAGCTCCTTCTGTCAGCTTTAGTTCCTTCTGTCAGCTTTAGCTCCTTCTGTTAGCTTTAGCTCCTTCTGTTAGCTTTAGCTCCTTCTGTTAGCTTTAGCTCCTTCTGTCAGCTTTAGCTCCTTCTGTTAGCTTTAGCTCCTTCTGTCAGCTAGCCTTCTGTCAGCTTTAGCTCCTTCTGTTAGCTTTAGCTCCTTCTGTTAGCTTTAGCTCCTTCTGTCAGCTTTAGTTCCTTCTGTTAGCTTTAGCTCCTTCTGTTAGCTTTAGCTCCTTCTGTCAGCTTTAGCTCCTTCTGTTAGCTTTAGCTCCTTCTGTCAGCTTTAGCTCCTTCTGTTAGCTTTAGCTCCTTCTGTCAGCTTTAGCTCCTTCTGTTAGCTTTAGCTCCTTCTGTTAGCTTTAGTTCCTTCTGTCAGCTTTAGTTCCTTCTGTCAGCTTTAGCTCCTTCTGTTAGCTTTAGCTCCTTCTGTCAGCTTTAGTTCCTTCTGTCAGCTTTAGCTCCTTCTGTTAGCTTTAGCTCCTTCTGTTAGCTTTAGCTCCTTCTGTCAGCTTTAGCTTCCTTCTGTTAGCTTTAGCTCCTTCTGTTAGCTTTAGCTCCTTCTGTCAGCTTTAGCTCCTTCTGTTAGCTTTAGCTCCTTCTGTTAGCTTTAGCTCCTTCTGTTAGCTTTAGCTCCTTCTGTCAGCTTTAGCTCCTTCTGTTAGCTTTAGCTCCTTCTGTTAGCTTTAGCTCCTTCTGTTAGCTTTAGCTCCTTCTGTCAGCTTTAGTTCCTTCTGTCAGCTTTAGCTCCTTCTGTTAGCTTTAGCTCCTTCTGTTAGCTTTAGCTCCTTCTGTCAGCTTTAGCTCCTTCTGTCAGCTTTAGCTCCTTCTGTTAGCTTTAGCTCCTTCTGTTAGCTTTAGTCCTTCTGTTAGCTTTAGCTCCTTCTGTTAGCTTAGCTCCTTCTGTCAGCTTTAGCTCCTTCTGTCAGCTTTAGCTCCTTCTGTTAGCTTTAGCTCCTTCTGTTAGCTTTAGCTCCTTCTGTCAGCTTTAGCTCCTTCTGTTAGCTTTAGCTCCTTCTGTCAGCTTTAGCTCCTTCTGTCAGCTTTAGTCCTTCTGTCAGCTTTAGCTCCTTCTGTTAGCTTTAGCTCCTTCTGTTAGCTTTAGCTCCTTCTGTCAGCTTTAGTTCCTTCTGTTAGCTTTAGCTCCTTCTGTTAGCTTTAGCTCCTGTTAGCTTTAGCTCCTTCTGTTAGCTTTAGCTCCTTCTGTTAGCTTTAGCTCCTTCTGTCAGCTTTAGCTCCTTCTGTTAGCTTTAGCTCCTTCTGTCAGCTTTAGCTCCTTCTGTTAGCTTTAGCTCCTTCTGTTAGCTTTAGTTCCTTCTGTCAGCTTTAGTTCCTTCTGTCAGCTTTAGCTCCTTCTGTTAGCTTTAGCTCCTTCTGTCAGCTTTAGTTCCTTCTGTCAGCTTTAGCTCCTTCTGTTAGCTTTAGCTCCTTCTGTCAGCTTTAGTTCCTTCTGTTAGCTTTAGCTCCTTCTGTTAGCTTTAGCTCCTTCTGTCAGCTTTAGCTCCTTCTGTTAGCTTTAGCTCCTTCTGTTAGCTTTAGCTCGTTCTGTTAGCTTTAGCTCCTTCTGTCAGCTTTAGCTCCTTCTGTTAGCTTTAGCTCCTTCTGTTAGCTTTACTCCTTCTGTTAGCTTTAGCTCCTTCTGTCAGCTTTAGTTCCTTCTGTCAGCTTTAGCTCCTTCTGTTAGCTTTAGCTCCTTCTGTTAGCTTTAGCTCCTTCTGTCAGCTTTAGTTCCTTCTGTCAGCTTTAGCTCCTTCTGTTAGCTTTATTCCTTCTGTTAGCTTTAGCTCCTTCTGTTAGCTTTAGCTCCTTCTGTCAGCTTTAGTTCCTTCTGTCAGCTTTAGCTTCTGTTAGCTTTAGCTCCTTCTGTTAGCTTTAGCTCCTTCTGTTAGCTTTAGCTCCTTCTGTTAGCTTTAGCTCCTTCTGTTAGCTTTAGCTCCTTCTGTTAGCTTTAGCTCCTTCTGTTAGCTTTAGCTCCTTCTGTCAGCTTTAGCTCCTTCTGTTAGCTTTAGCTCCTTCTGTTAGCTTTAGCTCCTTCTGTCAGCTTTAGTTCCTTCTGTCAGCTTTAGCTCCTTCTGTTAGCTTTAGCTCCTTCTGTTAGCTTTAGCTCCTTCTGTTAGCTTTAGCTCCTTCTGTCAGCTTTAGCTCCTTCTGTTAGCTTTAGCTCCTTCTGTTAGCTTTAGCTCCTTGTTAGCTTTAGCTCCTTCTGTCAGCTTTAGTTCCTTCTGTTAGCTTTAGCTCCTTCTGTTAGCTTTAGCTCCTTCTGTTAGCTTTAGCTACTTCTGTTAGCTTTAGCTCCTTCTGTTAGCTTTAGCTCCTTCTGTCAGCTTTAGTTCCTTCTGTCAGCTTTAGCTCCTTCTGTCAGCTTTAGCTCCTTCTGTTAACTTTAGCTCCATCTGTTAGCTTTAGCTCGTTCTGTTAGCTTTAACTCCTTCTGTTAGCTTTAGCTCCTTCTGTCAGCTTTAGCTCCTTCTGTTAGCTTTAACTCATTCTGTTAGCTTTAGCTCGTTCTGTTAGCTTTAGCTCCTTCTGTTAGCTTTAGCTCCTTCTGTTAGCTTTAGTTCTTCTGTCATCTTTAGCTCCTTCTGTTAGCTTTAGCTCCTTCTGTTAGCTTTAGCTCCTTCTGTCAGCTTAGTTCCTTCTGTTAGCTTTAGCTCCTTCTGTTAGCTTTAGCTCCTTCTGTTAGCTTTAGCTCATTCGGTCAGCTTTAGCTCCTTCTGTCAGCTTTAGCTCCTTCTGTTAGCTTTAGCTCCTTTTGTTAGCTTTAGCTCCTTCTGTTAGCTTTAGCCCGTTCTGTTAGCTTTAACTCCTTCTGTTAGCTTTAGCTCCTTCTGTCAGCTTTAGCTCTTCTGTTAGCTTTAACTCGTTCTGTTAGCTTTAGCTCCTTCTGTTAGCTTTAACTCAATCTGTTAGCTTTAGCTCGTTCTGTTAGCTTTAGCTCCTTCTGTTAGCTTTAGCTCATTCTGTTAACTTTAGCTCATTCTGTTAGCTTTAGCTCCTTCTGTTAGCTTTAGCTCCTTCTGTCAGCTTTAGTTCCTTCTGTTAGCTTTAGCTCCTTCTGTTAGCTTTAGCTCCTTCTGTTAGCTTAGCTCCTTCTGTTAGCTTTAGCTCCTTCTGTCAGCTTTAGCTCCTTCTGTTAGCTTTAGCTCCTTCTGTTAGCTTTAGCTCCTTCTGTCAGCTTTAGTTCCTTTGTCAGCTTTAGCTCCTTCTGTTAGCTTTAGCTCCTTCTGTTAGCTTTAGCTCCTTCTGTTAGCTTTAGCTCCTTCTGTCAGCTTTAGCTCCTTCTGTTAGCTTTAGCTCCTTCTGTTAGCTTTAGCTCCTTCTGTTAGCTTTAGCTCCTTCTGTCAGCTTTAGGTCCTTCTGTTAGCTTTAGCTCCTTCTGTTAGCTTTAGCTCCTTCTGTTAGCTTTAACTCCTTCTGTTAGCTTTAGCTCCTTCTGTCAGCTTTAGCTCCTTCTGTTAGCT